GAGTCCCACTTGATAAAGGATAGTTTCAGCTTCCATATAAAGTACTGCAGTATACTCAGGGCCCTGTGAAAGGACAGAGGACTTTATATTAATGGCAGAAAGCAGATGGGGTACGTTCTGTTCCCAAACTCCAATAAAGACTGTCCTCTACCCTACTGTTACCACCTGTAAAATATATTGTCATTGATAACACGCAGAAACTTTGCATTTCCATCCAAGACAGGGGTGGGCAAAATACGGTGCACAGGCTGGATCCGGCCCATGTGGGTTTTTGTCCAGCCTGCAGCGGGTCCCTCGGCCCAGGCACAGTCCAGCCATGACACGTCCTGCTGCCCACGGGCACACAATAGGGCTGGGGTGGTTCTGTGGCTGCATTGCCTTTCTAGGGAGCCCAGAGGGCAGGCAACTCCTTCCGGCTGCCACCACCCCTGGCCCCAGCCCTGCAATAATGAGGTGGACCTGCACTGCATGGCCCTGACCCCACGCACCCCACACTTGCTCTAGGCTTGTCCTCCCAGGCTCAGCAGCGGCAGCACAGGACAAAAGCTGTTGCTCAAAAGTGGAGGGAAAGCAGCCTCTCCCCTTCCTGCTGCCAACATTTCCCTGCTGCAGCTGCCCGAAGCCTGTACGGAGCTGCCCTCCGTTTCTGCTGCCATCACGGCCACACCCGGGCTGCCATGCAGGGCAGCAGTGGCAGCACGGAGAAGATTCAGGGCCACACAGCACAGACTCCAGCACACAGGGTCAGGACTGTGCAGTAGGGCTGTGTGAAACAGCACTGTTTTGTTTCAACTTCCATTTCGCTGTTTTGAAGGGACAATGTTTCATTTTATCATTTTGTTTCATTTTGAAGCACTGGTCTGTTTAGTTTCGTCGAAACCGTTTTGCCATTTCGATGCATTTGTATGTTTCGCCCATAGGCTATAATGGGGAATCATGATAATGCCTAAAACTTTGTCATTTCCTACCGGATTTGGATGAAAATTGCAGGGGCGGTAGCCCCCTCTGAGGGCATGAAGCCTGCCAAGTTTCAAGGAGACAGGCCCAGCGGTTTCTGGGAAACTACACCTCCAACTGTTCAAAGCAAAACTCATATACCCTTGCCAGCAGTGGCAGCCTCCTGTTATCTGGCGCGCAGATCCGGGGGCCTCCACCCCTGAGAGGGCTGCAGGGCTGTGCTAGACTCCTCCCAGGGATGCAGGCCCCCAGATCTGCATGCCAGATGACAGGAAACTGCTGCTGCCACCTGGGACAAGTGCTGGGCAAAGTCTCTGCCTGGAAGATTGCTACTAACGTTGGCCCCAGGCAGCCTCCCATCATCCAACGCACAGATCCAGGGACCCGCACCCCCTGGAAGAGTCCGGCACAGCCCCGCAGCCCTCCCGGGGGTGTGGGCTCCTGGATCTGCGTGCCAGATGATAGGATACTGCCATTGGCAGCAGCAATCTTCCCAGTACTGGGTGCGGACTGTGCCCAGAGCCAGTCCCAGACAGCAGACGCAGCATCCTTTCATCCAGCGTGCAGATCTGGAGGCCCACAGACCTTGGAAGGCTGCGGGGCTGTGCCGGACTCCTTCCAGGGGTGCAGGCTCCCAGATCTGTGTGCAGGATGACAGGAGGCTGCCACTGCTGGTTGGGACTGGTGCTGGGCACAGCCTGTGCCGAGCACCAGGGGGGCTGTGCGGACTCTTCCCGGGGAGGACAGGGCCCTGGATCTGCGCGCAGGATGACAGCAGGCTGCCGCTGCCGGCTGGGACCGGCACTGAAGACAAGTAAACCCGGCTTTGAAACTTGAAACTTTTCGAAATGTTCGAAACATTTTGAGTGCCCTCGTTTCATTTACCCCATACCTACCCACACCTCCCCACATCCACACCCACACATCCCCCAAGCCCCATACCCACCCTTCCATACCCCCCACGCACCACACTCCACTACAATACACAAGAGTAAGAGCTCATTTTGAACTGTTATGCAATCACCTCTATATACACCACACACACACACAAATCAGGACAAAAATATTTTTAAAATTATTTTAATAATATTATTTTATTATTAGCCAATTGCCCATCAAGAATGACCGGGGGGTGGGGCTGGGATGGCATGCCGCCACCTAACGCCCCAGGCTGCTGCCATTCTGCCTCTTGCAGGGAGCGGGGTGGGGGAGCCAAGGCCAGCACTTCCGGCCTCGGCTCCCCCACCCTGTCTGGTCCCCAGCGCAGCTTCAGAATCATGGCAGCGCTCCCCCATGCTTGGAGCACTCTAATTGGCTGCTTCCATCAGCCAATCAGAATGCAAACAAAGCATTACAGCCAGACTTAGGCTTTTATAGTATTAGAATTACCAGAAGTCCCAAGGGGAGGGACTTCAGATAGCTAAAGGTCAGGGGTTAGTGGGTAGGACTTCTGGTCCCAAGCTGGCAACCAGGGACTACCCTTGCGGCCCTTGACAGCTCACCAAAACCCATTAAGTGGCCCTCCACCCAAAATAATTGCCTGCCCCTGATCTAGGACATGCAGCATAAAAATCCCCAAAATACAGGTCATCTGGGTCTAAACTCCTATTAGAATTAATTGGAATTCACTCACTAATCAAGACCTGCAGCACTTTATATCCAGACCACTACAGGCAACTAGCCAATAATAGGCAATACTTGGAGAGATCAGCAAAAGGGAGACTTCACTACAAAAACTGAAATTAATGATACTTACACTAATCAAAATGATGGGAAGCAGACAGCATGCAAGATCTTTTTTTCTCCAAGATCCAAATTACCTTATGTTTAGCCCATGTGTCTTGAACCAGAAACCTTCCCTGCAGAGTATTTTCTGGCGCAGTCTTATTTTAGCGGGGAAAAAAACCCTCTACAAAGTCTAATTTATGTACCCATACTTGTAAAAGGTCTCTTTTCCCAGAGAGGCTCAGGATGAAATTAATGCATCTTTCATTTTCAATAAAAGCTCTACGCTGCAAACAAAGCCACGCTGACTGAAAAGCAATAACTGGAGTGATTTGCCTCTATGCAGATTTGTACAGTCAGATAATTCTTGGCTGTTAAATAAGGCTTTTTGGGAACAGCATGCCAAGGGATATAAAAAGAAAAAAAATGTTTGTATTCTGGCAAGGCATTAAAACCTCAGCATGAGCTGGAGCAGAAATCCTTACATGCCCAGCCAAAAAGATAACTCAAGACCGGAGTAGATTTTTTCTTCCTCCTCCCTGACCCTAGCTCCAGGGGATGTGGTTTTGGAGAAAACCTGGGTTAACAAGGAGATGCTCTGCAGACATTACAAAGTATTTAGAAATCAACCTGGGAACAGAAAGACCCATCACGTTTCCAACTGGCAAGGGGGAGGTGGTCTTTGCCTATTGAAGGAAAGCAACAAGCCAAGGTGCCAACAGCAGCCTTCAGCTAGCAAAACACCTTAGGAGAGGTAGACAGAATTGGAATGATATCACTTGTGCATGACAATAGCAAATACAAGCATTTTGAAATACCAAGGATTATTTCATATTCCTTACATAGGAGAGGAGCTATAGGAGATATGCATAAGAGAGAAGTGATTATTCCCCAGCTGGCACGTAACCAGCTGCTGGTCATACAGTGTGTTTGTATGTCATTAAACCAAGAACTACCTGTGAGGCCAAGACATAATTACCCTGGATCTTTTAAGGTCTACTGCAGTGTAACATATATCTGCTTTTTGTTTCATTTTTCCAAACATGATTTGTCGAAGAGCCTCTTTCAATCCTTAATCAGAGATCTGATGTGAGCAAACAGGGGAAAAAGAAAACAGAAGATAGAACAACTTCAGCTCCCATTGCTGCATGATCTCAAGTAGGTTACCTTTTATCTCGCCTTCTACTTATAAAGATAGTGGGCTGTGTTTTCCTAACTACCTCCCAAAAGCGCTTTCTTTGCCAGCAGTAAAGAATCTAAATCCTCTAAAACTGAGTACACTGCCAGGGGTTGTTATTTCTTGTTAGCAAAATGGCAAGGCGTGGTAGCATTGAGCAGAATTTCTTGCTTAGCTTCCTCATTTATGTATAGGGGCTATTTGCAGAAGTTAAAAAAAATGCTTTACTAGAAGCAGCAGCATGTTACAGATCCTTCAGAGCAGAGTCAAAGTTATAGGTGGGGCACTTTAGCAGGGCTTTTTGGCACTTTTATCTAAAACTAATTCCATCAACTATTAGATAAAAGCACCAAAAAAGCCACACTAAAGCACCTGATCTTATACAGACGTCAGGTGAGCCAAACCCAACTAATGCACTGCTTCCATAGGAGCACGCCAAGTTTAAAGTAAAATGCCATTTTGGGGATTGGTTTTTTAACGTATGCAAACAGAATTTAGTTTTATTTTGTAGCTTTGAGGAAAAAGAATTAAGGAATGCTTCCTAAGAGGTCTCACATTTTCCATTAGTAGAATGAAGGGTCACTATACCAGCTGATAGAGATGCTGCTGGAACAAAAAAGCCTGCAAGATTCTGATGCACATTAGCTTTGGCAAGAAGCAACAGGACGGTGAAGCCAATTTGGACACAATATACTTGTCCCACAGTTCTTTTTAAGTCAGTAGCACCTTGATATTTATTACAGCACAGGAGAGATCAGTACAAGGCACCAAGAGAGGAAGGATAGATACCGCACTCACATAGCTGACTACAAAAGTTACATTTGGAAAGCAATTAGTTTCTATTTCACCTAAGCTTTCATCTATGATCACTACTTGAGAATTTTCTTGGGCAAATTGTCCATCATTGGTCTAGTGGCTAGCATGCTAGAAAGGAATCCAGGAGACCTGGGTTCCACTGCAGGCTCTGTGATTTACCCACCCTGACCTTTCCCAAGTCACTTCACTTTCTTCTCCCGTGTTTTGTCCTAGAGAATGAACAGATTCAGTGTGCATATGGGCAGCACATAATAAAATGAAGCCATAGGCACTACTGTAGTAAGTAGATGGGCAAGGAGACACAAGACAGATAACTAAAGAGACATCAGAGTTACATAAGTTTTTTACTTTCCAAGGTCAATGCCAGACAATGCCAGACTTATCATTCAAGTTATAGCAGAGTACACACAATGGCTAACTACCAAAAGCATACTGAACAGCCCAAGGATTTTTCTTCCTGGATTCACCTTTATTTTAAAGATTACCAACACAAACTAATACAATTCAGCCTACAAGGATACAGAAAAAATGTCTAAACCAGTACTGACTCAGGCTTGCATTTTAAAAGCTGTCCAGCATCTCTCTCCTTTTAAATCTCAAACCCCTCCTTTTGAGCAAATACCTAAGAAAAAGCAGAAACTTCTTTTTTTTTTTTTTTGCTTATTAAATATTTGCCATTTAATGCATATTTAAGACATGGCCATTTTCTTTGGATAAGCTCTGAATCCATGTAGAGGTAAACTACTGAGTCTCCAACAAGTTATCAAGGACCTACAAACCTACTGAAATAATTTAATTTCTTTCCAAAAAAAAAGAACAGAGCTATAGTACGGCTAAGGGCTATACGTTCCATCTGAAGCCAGATGTTACTGCTAGTACTTCCAGCACACACAAATTCTTCCTCTACTATCCATTGATGCGGTAATTCATGTGGATTTTCGGTTTGATGTCACACACTAGTGACAGCAGTTCAGTCAGCACCTCTTCCCTATTCTTCTGGAAGTTTTCTTGGATTATGCTCATCTTTTGCTGGGTCTCCTTCTCAACCTCTGTGGTGCAGCTTCCATGACATCCAAGAGCCTGAGTGAATGAAAAGAAAAGAGCAGTCCACTTAGAACAAAAAGCTCCTTGGTAAGGAAACAAACTATTGTGACCAATTTTTATGTTCTACTATTCTGTATGCTTCAGTGATAATCATTACACTTCTTGCAGCAACACAGTGTGGTGGTAAAGAGGTAATGTCAATAGACAGAGTTGCTTCATCACTGTACCCCTTGAATCATTAGATCGTCTTATCTATTTAGCATATAAGCTTTGGGGGAATTTGTGCAGTCCCTATGACAATGCCACCTTGGTTTTAATTGGGGCCTTTTGGACACTACTTTAAGTAAGACTGCTAATAATGATAGCAACTAATACAATATTCACAATAACATTTAAGTAAAGGACTTCTGTAAAATGTATTCTGTTGTCATTCCTAACCCTTTGATTTCTCTAGAAGGTAGGAACACTTCAACTTGGCTGCGCATCAAACACGAGCAATGTCAAGGGCAGGACAAGATTCACAGGACCTGGATTCTATTCCTCCGCTGTAGATACAACTCGAGGAAGAAGGGAAAAAAAAAAAAAAAACCCATGACCACTTCAGATCTGTCTCTCGGCTTCTCCGTTTGTAAATAGGGACTTGAAGCCTCAGAGGCAGGAAAGCAGGAATTAAACACAAGGTTCAGAAATGTTATTGGTACAGGAATAAAAAAACAAGAACTGTACTTCAGAACCCAAACTCCAAAGTATGGTGAATGGAACAGAGTCGAAGTCTGGAATGGACTAGTACTGTTACTGGTCAGAGAATGAAAAGGAAAAGCTTAAGAAATAAGATCTTAGCTTACTGGTGTCAAGATTGATATGCTGGTTTATAATGCAGGGGGGTCCGTGTTAGGACAGGCTTGACTGAAATTATACATTGCCAACTTAAAAAGTTGTACAGAAAGAAGAAAATGAGTGGTTCATCGTCTTGGAAATCTGATTGCAGGTAGTATAGGAATACCCCTTACAAAAACAGAGTTGGCACAAAGTAGCATGTCACTGCTCTCACAGCACACTTCAAAGGAGAGAGGGCTCCCACTTGGAACCTTTGATGAAGGCTGAGTTCACACGTACTATTTTACATTTTGCTGGGAATAAAAGCACCACATAAAACAGAGCATGCAAAGCTGACAAGAGAATTGTAGGCCACTTGAGTATTTAAAGAATTGAATTTTGAGATGTAAGTTTATCAAGGAACCATGGTGAAACATTTGTGAGAAAGACTAGCTCTGCAGAAGGGAGCGTGATCTCCTTTTGGTATTAATTCACAAAGTCTACTTTGTAAGACTAACTCATGACACACAAGTCAGACCTCATTAATATTAACTGCTTCACTACTGATACCATCTTCCAGGTTCCAAGATGCAACAACACTCCTGCAGCTGACTGCTTTCCACTGATATTGCCATGGCAGCTGGCTGCACATTACAGCACAGTGAGGCAATTAAGGAAAAAGCACTCAAGGAGAGAACCACCCCATGCAGAATGCTCTTCCATGAAGAGCAGCAGCTAAACATTTTGCAGAGCTCTAACAGCATCATCTCAAGCAGCAGCAACACCAACTCCAAGCAGCACCAGGGACTTGGGG